AAAAAAAAAAGTTACACTCTTGGACACCTGCAGGGGCTGCTGGCTCCACCCTGCCCTGTAGGGAGGGGTGAGGGAGAGCGGGCCTGAGGACAGTGGGCTTGAGGGGTCTCGTCTGGCTTTGTGTTTGAGGGGTCTCTCAGGTGTGCAACAACGCACCCAAAAGAGTGTGCACTCTTGTGAGAATGACCAAGGGGACTCCTGGTCGGGAGGAAGACACCCGTCGTCTTTGCTCATCACAGGTCGTCCCGACCTCCCGGGGGTCCGTGGTGAGGCCCGCCTGCACCCCGCACTTGCCGGCGCCCGGGGCTCGGCTGTGGGAGGCGGCAGGCGTGCGCATCTCGGGCTGGTTTACCTAAGGGGAGGATCCCGTACAGCGTGATGAGCTGCCTGACGTCCAGCAAGGAGGGCATGGGCTCGATGGCCACCTGGCGCAGCGAGGTCCCCAGGTAGCTGTACTCACCTGGCGAGGAAAGAGACAGGGCAGAGAGATGAGAGGCTGGCGGCGGGTGCCACGGAAATGGACGCAGAGGACGCACGTCCCCCCGGGGCTGCCCACCGCCATTGAGTGGATGCCAACTCGGTGGCGATCCTGGATGGGGTTTCTGAGACGCTGTACAGGAGCAGAACGCCGCAGTTTTCTCTGGAGGAGCAGCTGGTGGGTTTGGACCGCTGCCCTTCCTTAGCATCCCTGCCGTCTCATGCGAAGCATGGTGCATGAGTCCCGGCAAGCAGAACTGAGAGATGGGGAGTAGGACTCCCTGGGTGGGGGAGACAGGGAGCTCTTGGCTTTAAAGGAAGTTGGGAGGTAGCTCAGAGGAAAACCCTGGTGATGTGAATGAGCCTGAAATCCTGTGGGTGACAGCTTCCCTCTGACACACACGGAGGTCGCTGTGCATCTCAATCAGCTACATGGTAACTGGCTTAAGTGGAGTGTTTGTGACCCCCACCCCCAAACCCCAAATAAAACACCAACACCTGTGTTTTCTCAGATCAACCAAGAATCATGTCCTTGGTCACTAGGGCCATTCTGACTCCAAGGGCCCGTGGGACAGAGCAGAATCATCCCCCAGGGTTTCCGAGGCTGTTAGTCCGGACAGACACAGACACCTCGCTTTTCTCCCTTGGAGCAGTTGGTGGGTCTGAGCCTCGGACCTTTCTCTGAGCAGCCCCAGTGCTCAACCCGACGCACCACTGTGACCCCTGACTCACTTTCCATCCATAGGAGCTTGAAAAACAAAAAACCCTGAAACATCAAGTCCAGCTGCTTGGGAGCACTTAACTGGAGTAACCTAGGCACGATGTTACGGAGGCGAACTTGACGCCCAAAGAGTACTGCATTGTAACACTCACTTCGAGGTACTGGGATATCGGAAACGGGGTGGAGTTCTAACATGGGGGTTCTGTAAAGAGGACTGGCTACCACACACACACACACACACACACACACAGTGGCATGTGCTTTGTGTGTCTTGTCAGAGGTTGAGTTTGAAAGGGGGTTGCCAACCTGGAGCTGCAATATTCGGGGGCCCGCCTGGAACCGGCGCCAGAAGCTACGTAAATCTATCCTGAAAACGCAGCCATTTGAGAGGAAGGGTCCAGTTAGCGTAAACAGAAACATCTCCCTTTCGACAGTTAATATTCATTTACATTTTCATCACTTCTAAGTGATCGCCGAAGGACGGACACAGAGATAAATCTCCGAGGGCTTAATGAGAAGGCATCAAAGGGCTTAATTGTAACCGGCCATAAATTTGAGTGGTTATTTTCTCACTAATTTAGATAAGGTCACTGGGAAAATTAGTGTGGCCGTGGCCATCCGTCACGGCGAGGGTGCGCAGAGCCTCTGAGTGATTCCAGGAGCCTCCGATGGCGCCGACCCGATGCTGTCGTGAAAACAGCGGACGTGTCCCTCCCCTTCTCGCTCTCTCGCTGGACGATGACATCCCGACCTTGCCCAGGTTCCCATCTTGCAGACTCAGGACAGAGGCGCATGCCCGTGCAGGTTGAGCACACGGGTGTCGCAGATATCGAGAGCTTTGATGCATTTGCAAATGCCCGCAAAAACCCGAGCGAGAGCTCATCGGTTGGCAGCTGGCCTGGTGACGGAGCACGAGTCCCTGGGAAGGACAATGGTGCTGGTCTGGACAGGAGTGAGGACGGAAGCTTCTGACGGCTCCGGGTACCCTCGCCTTTTTCATGAGCGGGTTATACACAGAGGGGGTGGTTCCCGTCTCCTTTGAGAGAGCTGAGGGAAGCCCAGGGACAGCCATTACATCGGTGCTTATTGCCAGGAAACAAGGCTTTAGAGGTGATGGGGAAGGGATTCGCCTTCTTCTGCTAAGGAGAGCCTTAGTCACACCCAGGTGGATTCTAGAGCCTGGAGTTGTCAGGTGCCAGCAAGTCGGTTCTAGCTCGTTGAGGCCCGATGGTCATCGCCAGTCCTGCGCCGCCCTCACCACATCCTAACGCATGAGCCATCGCTGCATCCGCGGGGGCCGTCCACCTGGCTGAGGGTCTTCCTCTTTGTTCATGGGTCTTCTCCTTGACCCTGCATGATGCCCTTCTGCAGGGACTGGTCCCTCCTGACAACATGTCCCAAGTGTGTGAGAGGCAGTCCTGCCATCCCTGTCTCTAAGGAGCACTCTGGCTGCGCTGCATGCACGATGGATGGGTTTGTTCTTCGGCCAGTCCATGGTACCGTCGATAGCCTTCTCTAGCACCTGGTCCAAATGCAGCAATTCTTCTTCGGCCTTCCTTATTTACCGCCCAGCTTGCACACGCACAGGAGGCGATGGAAAGCACCATGGCTGAGTCAGGGGCACCTTAGACCTCCAAGTGACCTTGCTTTTCAACTCCCGAAAGAGATCTTGTGCAGCAGATTGACCCAACACAATGCATCCTGTCATCTCTTGACTGCTGTTTCCATAGACATGGACTGTGGAGCCCAGTAAAATGAAATGCGTGACAGCTTCTGTCTTTTCTACAACACTAGACTCTTCTCTGTTTCGGATGTAGCAGCTCATGGGTCCAGGAATGAGAACTTTTGTTTTCTTCATGCTAAGGTGTTTCTGTCTTTATCAGTGACTGCTTCAAGTCCTCTTCACCTTCCCCGAGGAAGGCTGTCTCATCTGCATAGTGCAGGTGATTAAGCGGTCTTCCTCCACCTTCATGAAGCCTCTCGGTCTATGCACAGGTTCTCAGGTTCTGCATGGGAACCCTGAAGAGTTCACAATGAAGATGCTCTCGTTCTGCACAATGGTATCCTTCACTTGCTTAATGCTTTGGTTCACTCAACAAGACATAGCTGAATAAACATCCTGCTAATCTCCGTTTTCAGCCAATATATCAACCGACATCAGCAATGAGATCCCTCCTTCCATGTCTTTTTCTGAATCTGGCTCCCATTTCTGGCACATCCCTGACAGTGTACAGGTGCAACTGTTTTTGAATGATCTTCAGCAAAAATTGTACTTGCCAGGGCTGTTAATGATTATCGTTCAATAATGTCCGAATCCCATTGGGTCACATTTATTTGGAATGGGCACACACATCACGCTCTTCCGGCTGGTTGCCCAGGTATCTCTCTTCCAGATTTCTTGTTGGGGACCGGTGAGCGCTTGCAGCCGTTTGTGGAAACATCTCCATCAGAATCCCACCAATTTCAGGAGCCCCGTTTTCTGCCAAAGCCTTTGGAGCAGTTTGGACACCTTCTTCCAGCAACACTGATTCTCAGTCATGTGCTGCCTTCTGAAATGGCTGAACGTTGACCAGTTATCTGGTACAGTGACTGTGTATTCCTTTCATCTTCTTTTGCGGCTTCCTGCATGGTTCAACATGTTGCCCATAGAATCCTCCAATATAGAAACTCGAGGCTTGGGTTTTTTCCTTCAGTACTTTCGGCTTGAGCTAGGCTGAGCGTGCGCTTCCCTTTTGGTTTCAAAAGTCCAGGTACTTTCACATTTTTTCAACATTTCCTTTTGAGGTTTTCTATCATCTTTTTGCACGACCCTTTGGGGTATTTTGTTCAAGTTTTACACCGTCATTTCTTCCCTTTGTTTTTGCTGCTCCAGTCAGGAGGAGTTTCGGTCTCTCCTGACACCCACGTGGGTTTATTCTTTTTTGTCTTTTGAGTGACCTTTTGCTTTCTTTGTGTCTAGTCCTCGCGATGTCACCCCGCAGCTCATCAGGACTTCGGTCATTACTGTCCAGTTCGCCAGCGCTGCTCTTCAAATGCTCTCAAATTGAGGAGGAACATACTTACAGCTGCAGCTTGGGTCTCATTGGACTTGTCTTAATGTTCTTCAGCTTCAACGTGAACTTGCACAGGAGGGACTGAGGGGTCTGTTCCAGCCGGACCCGGCTCTTGTTTTGGCTGATGATCTTGAGCTCCTCCATCACATCTTCCTACAGAGGTTGTCCGCTTGACTCCTGTGTATTCCATCTGGTGGGGGAAGACGTGGTTGGGCTTGCAAATTCTATCATGAGATCCTCAACTCTGCTCCTGTCACCACGGCCTTCGCTTTCCAGCTGTTGATCTTCCTCTTTGCGTCCATCTTTCACGTTCCAATTGCCGGTGGGTGTCAATGCAACTTGATGGCCCGTTTGATCGATTTCAGACTCCAGAAGTTCAGGGAACTTCCATGTCTTCATCTGTGGCATTGGTGTTTGGTGCTTACATTTGAATGATAGTCGTATTCAATTGCTCTTGTGTATAAGGCTCTTTCTTATACACACAAGTGTCTATGAATTTGTTTCTCTAGTCAAGCCGGACGGACACATCTTCCTTATTTAAAGCGAATACCTACACCTTATCCTGGGTGATGGACTAGAGTACAAATGTGTTCACTGCCAGGGGTGAGTGGAGTCATTGATTTTCCTGCCGAGGAGGCGGTAGCCAAATATGCTTGGGCTGGAAGCTCAGCTGAACCCTGTACTCCCAGGCTGGTCCTGCTGGTTTTTGAAGTACTGATGGCCCAGCTTCCAGCATCTCAGCAGCAGGGAAGCCACCACCGTCCAGCACACGGACAGATGGGTGGTGACTCCAGAGCCTAAGATTTTACTGAAAGACAGTGTCTTACATGGAACTGGTGCACGGTGATCGGTGCAGGAGAGTGAAGGGCAGCGTGCCTGGGCCACCTCCCAAGTCACAGGAAACCATGGGACAGTGCCTGAGCATGTGCAGATGCCTCCCTCCCCATGGGGGCTGTTGTGGGCTTGCTCCACGGGGCTTCCCAGACTGTGCCAGCATCGATCGGGTCTCCAGGCCTTTCTGCCAAGGCCCCTCTTGGTGGGCTTGTGCCGCCAACCTTTCTGCTCATAGCTGAGAGCTTTCAGGCGTCTGCGCCACCCAGGCGCCTCCTACGCTTGTTGGGGATGTAGGCAGTGTAGGGAGGAGGAGGAAAAGGCAGGAGGAGAGGGAGCTGGGGCAATGGGCATGATAGACAGGGCACCAGGGGCATGGGGAAGACAGAAGCAGGGGCTACAAAGATCCTTGGGAGGACAGGAGCCCAGGGTGTGGTTAACAGTAAGGGTCTACGACCTCTCGGAGGCAATAGCTCTTCGTTCTCTATTCTGCACACGCACAAAGCAGAGGGTGAGGACTATGGCTACTTACATATTGAAAAGTAACTTTCTCTCCAAGAACATAACCACAAACAGGGGACCCACTGCCATCGCGTCGAGGCTGACTCACAGCACCCTTACAGGACAGAGCAGACTGCCCCCATGGGATTCTGAGACTGCAACGTTTCACGGCAGCCGAAAGGCCCGTCTTCTTCCCTGCAGACCAGCTGGTGGTTTTGAGCTACTGACCTTGTGGCTAGTAGCCCAACGTGTAACCGGCGCACCACCAGACTCACTGCCCTCAAGTCGATGCTGACTCAGAGTGGCCCTATAGGACACGGTGAGCTGCCCCAAGGAGATTCTGAGACTGTGACTCTGCAGGAGTGGAGAGCCCTGTCCTACTTTGGGCCTTAATGATGGCAGCTCAGCGTGTAACCTGGATGAGGGTCCTGGAAGGTGCGCAAACAGTGAGTCACCACAGCTCAGTGAGTCACGGTCATCATTCACTCCCCTGTTCCTCTAGACTTCGATAACCAGAAACCACTGCCGCAGATGGCTGGAGTGTGTGGCTGCTGACAGGAAGCCCGGGACCTGCTGAGTCTGCCTCTCTTAGAGGGTGGTTCGAGCCCACTCAAAGGCACCTCAGAAGAAAGAGCTGGTGATCCGCCTCTATAAGCTCACAGCCTTTGAAAGCCTTTGAAGACGTGCCACTTGGACACTCTTGAGTGGGAATGGGCGGGGCACCCACCAGTGACTGGTTCTCTAATCACAGAGAAGAAGGGGGCTGGAGTGCAGCTTCATCCAGGAGGGCTTCCACCCATAGTTGGAGGCACTAAAGCTTCCCAGGGGGAGGCTGCAGCCTAACTAAGCTGAGAGACCAGGACAGTTTAACGTGTGGTCGTCATGGCTCAAGGTCATGTGTGCCGGGTACTCACCTACACCAGAACAACAGAAGCTATCGAGACATAACATGCACATTGTGTCTCCCAAGGTGGTGGAGCCTTCCCAGGCTGACTGCACCTGCTGAGCCTGCCCCTCTCTACACTGTGCACCTGCTGAGCCTGCCCCTCTCTA